CGACTAGCGTTTAGCGAGAGGTGAACACTGAAAAAAGAGGCTTTGAGAACTCAGGGCATGCCCAACGCGAGTACGTGGAGCGTACCCCTAGGCGCACATGTCAGACGCGGGGCCAAAAAGTGGCGAGGACCACGCGCCTGCGAGGAGGTTCGAACCCTCTGATCGCTCCGCGCACCCTCACGCGAGGCGCCGCTCTGAGGCTAGGTTTAGGCTGTGGCACCGCGTTGTGTAGCATGAAGCACCTGTGCAATTAATCTATTGTGCAGCTTTAATTTGAAAAGGGTATATCTGAAGGTATTGCTTCCATTGGGGGGATGAGATCGTTTTTGTGGCTTTGGCCCACATAGCAACCGAGGGTATGGCCTGCGTTGGGCATGCCTCATGGGCATATAAGACAGGGTAAGGCTAATAGGTGGGTGATCACCCGCCCGCCCCTTCCCTATACGCTCCGTCGCTCCCTCCTCCTCTTCTCTTCTTATTACACAATAAATATTTGAATTCAAATTCAAAACTGAAACGGGTATGTAAACTTTTAACTTATAAACTTTGGGTCTATAAACTAATATTTGAATTCAAATTCAAATTTGAATCGGGCATGTAAACTTTTGACTTATAAACTTTGTGTCTATAAACTTTAGGTGTATAAACTTTAAATGTATAGAAATACTATATATAAAAAAATATTTGAATTCAAATTCAAATTTGAATCAGATATAATTCAAATTCAAATTTGAATCGGGTATGTAAACTTTTGACTTATAAACTTTGGGTCTATGAACTTTAGGTGTATAAACTTTAGATGTATAGAAATACTATATATAAAAAATATTTGAATTCAAATTCAAATTTGAATCGGATACATTTCAAATTCAAATTTGAATAGGGTATATAAACTTTTGACTTATAAACTTTGGGTCTATAAACTTTAGATGTATAGAAATACTATATATAAAAAATATTTGAATCCAAATTTGAATCGGATATATAAACTTTTAATTTATAAACTTTAGATGTGTAAATTTGAGGTGTACAAACTTTAGGTGCATAAATTTATTAAAATAGGAAAGTAATGTGGTGAAAAAAAAAAATAAAAACATGTGGAGGGAGGGGATCCGAATCTGATCGTGATCGCCCCTGGCGATTGACCGCCAGGTAGCAATCTCGTCGTATAGATTTGTTTGTTGGTTCTGCAATGAATCTAGTCGACTATAAAAGGAACCTGTAGCCTACCGATGGCATGAAGAATGACTTATTTCGGAATCTTTTTAGGCATTAATGAAGGTAAGGCCGTAAGGGTGAACATCGCTCACGATCAGGTGTATCGTCTCTATTCTTTTTTAGATTAGGCGTGTTACACGGTTACACCTGATCACTGACATGTTATCTTTGTAAAAGAAAAAAAAATATTGACCAAACTCATCATTCCATCTACCGTGGTTGCAAGCCTGCAAGGCCCCCGGCACACAAGTTTACAGCAGGTTGCATGAATTCTGAAACAAACGGCAGAGCTCAGAATATCAGTATACCACATCCGCTTCATTTCTTCCTACCTGCAGCCGAGAGCAACCAAAGCAAACCCGCCGTTGTGTGATTGTGTCAGCTAACCACGAAGAAAGCAGCAATTTTTTTTTATCAAAGGGCAAACACCCTCCATTTCCATTAAAGAAATGTGCACTACAAAACATTGAAAAAGAGTCTTACAACCTGTAAAGGAAGGAAAAACAATAAATTTAAAAAACCCAAAAAGGGAAAAAACGAATAGATACTCCAAAGATCAGGACCAACCTAATCCAGGTGTCAACCAGGTGCCAACTCCATGGTAGAATACCAATTTCTGGAGCAATCAATCATGAATCCCGTCACCTCGGTTCGCCTGTTTAAGCCTCAGCCATCCACAGCAGCGGGGTGCGCATGTCATAGAAAAAACCACTTCCCAGGTTGTTTTTAATTCCTCCAGGCCGAAACGCTAACGCAATGCGGCCGGCACTAGGATTACGACTCTGTACTAAAATATTTGTGATAAACTTGCACCACCCAATGATTTTCAGGCTTAAAACAAAGCGTCGGTTTTGTCGTCCTCGCGCGACCGTTTCCGCGTTGCTCGGCAGCCGCCATGGGAAGCAGCAGCACGCAACGCCTGAAAATTCCAAGCCTATTTATATCGAGTGATTGCCCTTGCCTGTACGATACAGTACAGTACTGAAACTGATGACCATATCATAGAATCTGCACTGCACATACAGCCACATACCGAAATGTTAAGAGCCTCTGATCAGCTAGTGAACGAAATGGGGATGGAAATGGAGCAGCATTTCACTTCGCAATGACACGGTGCCTCTCTCACGGGGTGTCCGTAATAGGAGTAGTAACGTAATCTGATGCAGCCATGTGCCAGAATTCGGTAGAGCCATGAAAGCTCGTCTTTTTAGGTGGATCCTTCGGGTTGGACGCAGAGAGAGGACGAAGACCTTTCTTGTCTCTAGATGATTGCGGAATGACTTAGCGCCGGAGGAATATGGGGGGTGTTTGGATACCCGACTTTTGTCACTAATTTAGAATATTAAATATAGAATACTTACAATACTAATTACATAGATAGAGGCTAGTTCGAGAGACAAATCTATTAAACCTAATTAATCTATGATTAGTACATATTTACCGTAACACTATATTGTCAAATCAAGGACTAATTAGGTTTAATAGATTCGCCTCGCAAATTAACCTCTATCTGTATAATTAGTCTATGTTTAATAATCTAAATTAGTGTTTGATGTGATAGGGCTAAAATTTAGTCAGGTTATCCAAACACCTCTCCGGAACTGGAGCCACAAGCGCTGTGCGGCAATGGCTGTATCAAGAGCAGATGAGATGCAATGCACGCGGCACGCCTTGAAAAATTCGGCCTTTGTGCCAGAGCTGGCCTCTCGCTTTTGAGGTGTCTCCCGAACTGGAGATGCCAATATGCCAACCCACTGAAAGCAGATCAGGGGTGTGTGGTCTATAAGCTCATCACTATACTAAGATTCAGTGGATTGAGGTGACTGCCAACAGTTCAGAAACAGGAGTGCTCATTTTATTTGTCTTAATAAGTTCGGCCAACTGTACAAGGTAACATAATTAGGTCAAAATCTGCGTCTGAATTATTGGCGCATTGGGCAGATTATGCGCGATCTCTCGACGAAATGCTTACTTGAACCCGTGAATCAAGGGGACGGCCAAGAATCCAGGAGTGCAGAAAATCGTTAACAGAAAACCTGACGGCCATGTGTCATGGACTCATGGGCGGCGTGATGGTTCAACTGTTGAAGCAACGTACTACGCCGCTGTGTCTATCGCAGCAGACTGGCTGAACTCAAATGGGAAACCTGATTGCTGAAACAAAAATTCATGTCAACGCTTGCTTGTTCGTTTCTACGACTTGGGGACCCACTCAGCTAATATTATATACTGCGGGTAATCGTCTTACTAACATGTAAATCTTAATTTGTTCGTCATTATCTGCTAAGAGATTACGACTGGCTCCAAGGAGACGATGCGACGTATAACCGCTGCAAGACTAATCAATATGCCGTATTTCTGACTTTATCTTTAACCTGGTTACTGATTATTCACATGATCTCACACATCAATATCCCATGGGCCCACACACGATTCTTCCCACATGAAAATGGAGGTGAACTGGGGTTGGAAAAAAAATTCGGACGAACAGTCCACAAAACGTGTGCTCAGATGCTAATCTAATCGATATATAGTACAATTCGGTGTGTGACTGTGTGCACAGTTCCAAGTACCAGCCAGGAATTGCCGAAATGCAGTAGCACGCACAATGGTTCAGATGGCGTTACAGGAGTGGGTGACCAAACCACAAACCGAACGCCCTACGATTGCCAGAAAATCTGTAGCATCACCTGCCGAATTATTGATGCCATGGTTCTACCGGTTTGTAGGTTTCAAAACGGCAAAATGAAATGGCTTTACAAAACGGCAAATGAAATTATGCAGTAGGCCACCAGAAAAAAGGCATCCTGATTCCAGTAGGCCGTCGAGGCTTCTCGCCGATGTGCTCTGCTCCGTCCAAAAAGATATCGTAGTGTATGGCAGCGTACGCACGCACGGCTAAGGTTGCATCTGATCCCCCTCTTGATCCACTTGGGGAAGACTAATGTGGGATGCCAAAGGTGGCAGGCACATTAGTATTTGTGGTGGTAATGGCGTAGTTAGTGGTAACTTTTCCCCTTTTCACTTTTCGGGTAGAAACGTGCGCCTAATGTTTTTTCCCCACCATTCATGTGGGAAGCTGAAACATATGCGCAAGTGCAATAGAATCTCCTAGAGAAAGCATCCATTCACTAGCAAGTGATAATTCCAAAATGTAGGAAAAGAAAATATCCAAACTGATAGCACTGCTTTACTCTACGACAATTTACGGTGGATTTTGGGTCTCGCCCCGTCGCAAGTTGCAATCGGAATCGTTACTGTAACGAAAAAGAAATCAGTAAATCATAATGCTGTTGATGATAAGGTTCACAAGTGAATGCAACACTCTGATTAGTAAATTTCAAGCGAAAGGGACATTGCGGTAGGAGACAATTCGAACTGTGCTAGGATTCCACTGTTTGGAAACACGCTCTGCCATTCGATCGGTCATATGTGCTTGCCGGGTTGTGACTTATGAGACGGCCCGGATCCGCCATGTACGAGTAGTTGATACTACCTCCGTCCCAAAATAAGTACAGCCGTGGATATCCATGCCTAACATTAGACCATCCGTCTTATTTGAAAAATTTGCGAAAAATTTAAAAATATTTAGTCACACATAAAGTACTATGTTTTATCATCTAATAGCAATAAAAATACTAATCATACAAAATTTTCAAATAAGACGAACGGTCAAATGTGTAAAACTGTACTTATTTTGAGACGGTGGGAGTAAGAACGAGCACAAATACTCTCCCCGAGTCTTCCTCCGATTAGTTTACTTAACCCCGGTGTTTGCAGATACTTTTCGTCTTTTGCCCCCCTTGGTCTACAAAAGACTTCACACTACATACATTCAGAAGTGCTTTCTTTCGCTTCGAGCCTCTTCCTCTCTTTTCTCTCGTCTCTTCCATCCACATTCTTCTCTCTCTCTCGATTGCTTCGCACTGGGAATGGCGATAGACCATGCGTCCCCTTTCTCGCTGAAGAACAGAGGCGACATGGTAAGTAGCTGCCGATGACTGATTGATTGCTCTTGCTCTGTTTCTTGGTTATTGATTGGGGTGTGATGGATTGAATGTGGGGGTGCAGGGAGGAAGGGGGTATGAGGAGGAAGAGGTGGAGAACCAGCGGTGGCCGCCGTGGCTGAAGCCGCTGCTGTCGACGAGCTTCTTCGTGCAATGCAGGATCCACGCCGACGCGCACAAGAGCGAGTGCAACATGTACTGCCTCGACTGCATGAACGGCGCGCTCTGCTCCCTCTGCCTCTCCCACCACCGCGACCACCACGCCATCCAGGTCAGTCTGTTAATCCAATGCGTGTGCTTCTTGATCGATCGATCTATATCGTGGAGACTCACGCGTTGCCTGTCCGTCCATGTCGTGGATGGAGCAGATACGGAGGTCGTCGTACCACGACGTGATCCGGGTGTCGGAGATACAGAAGGTGCTGGACATCACCGGCGTGCAGACGTACATCATCAACAGCGCCCGCGTGGTGTTCCTCAACGAGCGCCCCCAGCCGAGGCCCGGCAAGGGCGTCACCAACACCTGCGAGGTCTGCGAGCGCAGCCTCCTCGACTCCTTCCGCTTCTGCTCCCTCGGATGCAAGGTACGCACGCACCAACCAACGCCATCAATTCTGGCGCGACGCATGCTCGTAGACACCAACAATGGCGTCTTTATTTTCTTTTCTCTGCAGATTGTGGGTACGTCCGGTGGATACCGCCCAAGGAAGAAGCACGGCGGGTGCGGCGGCGGCGGCGGCGGCGGCGACGGTGGCAAGAAGAAGAAGAAGAGGGCGGCGCTCAAGGACGCGCGGTACGAGTCCGAGGACTCGTGCACGAGCACCAGCGGCGGCAGCAGCGACAAGAGCAGCGTCGTGCAGAGCTTCACGCCGTTGACCCCGCCGCCGACCTCCGCCAGCTACCGCACCGGCAACAAGCGCCGCAAGGGCGTCCCGCACCGGTCCCCCTTCGGCAGCCTCATCGTCGAGTTCTAGGGAGTCTCGACGCGTCCGCGCCTGATCAACATAGTGTACTGTACACATGACATAGCCAAACACAATAACCGTGTGCCCCGGAATGGCGGCGAGCCCGGCGCTTCCCTTCCCGGAGGCCGGCCGGCGTAATGCCGGAGAAGGGCAAGAGCAGTAAGCCACGTCACATACATATTATAGCTTGTTTGTTACTTTTCAGCTTCGGTTTTTAGTTACAGTTCAGTTACTCCTAGTTAGTACCCAGTCAAGTCCAAGCACTGCTGGGTGCTTACGACTCGGTAACGGCAACTAAGTTTTGCAACCGTGTAAAAATATAGTAGCAGTAGTAGTAACCTCCATATTGTAGATGTACAGAGCTGTGGTGGGGTAGGAGACAGTCACACAGTGGGATATTCATATGTGCATTATATTACCCATGTAATAAAAAAAAAAGAGTTGCTGCTCCAAATTACCCCGGAATCGCCACGGGTTTTTGGTTGGATCGCTTCCAATGCTGCATTCGGTCGAGTGACTCATCGATCACTAATTCACTCGCAGAGCGGTGTGTCTTTGACATTCTGCAGGTGTACCCCAGCACAGACGCGGCATGAAGAGGCTGCTCGCCGTGGCCGCTGCTGATACGGTGAGGTGGTTGCTCGGTGAAATGCCGGTGCACGAGGGGGTCACACGGGCGCCCGGGAGGACGGGAGGGCGGCACGTGTTTGGACTTCTCGGGCGCGCGTGAAAGATGCCGCGCGGAGGGGGTCGGTATCTTCTGGAGGCTGGAGCGGTGAGTCACTGGGCATATACGGTGGCACGACTCGGCCCTCGGCCAACCGTCGTGGACGCCGATGCTGAGCCGTGCCGTGCCGTGCGACGCCGCCTAACTTGATTGACCCGCCATTTGTCCCCGAAAGCGGCCGCCCTCGACGGCGACGGCTACCTCCGCCCAACTCTGCTTTTTTTCCTTGCACCGGTGCAGCCGTTCCCGTCCGTCCAGAAGAAGCCGTTCCTCCCCCCCAATCGACGTCGCGCATTTATCGCGCGGCAAAGCTGAGTTCCCACTAGGCACCTCGCTGCGATTTTTTTCTCACCGAAGCTCTCGGTCGATGCAGTGATATCTTGATATGTCGTTGCAACTTGCAAGGGGGGACTGCTCGCTTCCTGTCCAACCCGGCAGATCAAACAAGTGCTCAACCAGTCCGTCCGGTGCGATTCGGCAATCGACAGCATTTCGTGCGCGCGAGTGTGCCCTGTCGTCGATCGGAGGCTGGAATATTGTGACGGAAAACGCCTCCACCAGCGTGTGCCATGGCCACCCTGACGTTGCCACCCACCATCCAACGCCCCCATGCCACCCATGACTTTCTTTTCTCTCTATTGGAGTTTTTTAATCCTCTCCCTTGTGTCATTTGCTCCCTAACTTTGATCGATTAGTCACCGCCGTGACATGGACCTGTTGGATTAGACCGACCTCGCCGTCACGTGGGCCCGACCCTGTGGGCCACCAGGGCTGCGGGACTGGAGTGGATGGACCGTGATGCGTAGCGCCGAGTGGTGGGCCGTTTCAGCATCGGACGGCCAGTGCGAGTCGCCGTGGATTCGCCGGCTTTCACCTTGCGTAGGGGTTAGGTTTCTCGCGTGACTTTTGGGTGAAGTGAATCGTGACTGTGCATTGCAATTGCATCGCGCGCGATGCCATTGCCCATCCTGGATTTGGATTACTCGCGGCGTGTATGTCTCGTTTGCTCGAGATAACGAAAGCGACAGAGATGCATCGTACTTGCATGTTCCGTTGCAAGAAGTTGGGGGTGGGGGCTTATGGCTTTCGCGAACGCAGGGGGCTTATGGCTTTCCTTGCCAAGTTTTTTGGAGCGATTTTATCCCTTTGGCTGAGGTATAACTGGGTGGGTTCAATTGATGAGATCATCGCAGCCGATGCATCATGTAGATAGATATGAATAATAGTACGCCATAGGTCATGACCCTATCTTGTTAGTGGTTATAGCTTAATTTTGTCTTGTGACGATAATGCATACATATTACCCTCTGCCTGGAGGGATATATAGTTAGTTCCTGTTTGATTAATTATATTGTTCAAAAGAAAAACACAAAGAATAAAATATGCTGGTTGATGTCAAAATTACAATCGGCTATCAGCTAGGTTGATAAAGTCTAAAAGTGCATTTTTAATCCCTAAATTTATCATCTAGTGGTTTAAAATCTAATGTCTCCCTCTACTAGAAAAAACATTTTTGCAGACATGGGGTATTTTTTCCCAGGCAGACATTACCCTCGGAGCGAAATGGCCGCCTACAAAAAATGCAAACCTGGTTGAAATTCGTTGTCCGGTTTTCGCAGGCGCCCGCCTGCAAAAGTAAGCATGCAAAAATACCCTTTACTTTTGCAAGCGGACCTCTTATGTGATCCGCCTGCGGAAATTGGCATGGATATAAATAGACACGACATGGCACCGCGATTTTTTCTAAGTCTCACCTCACCTCTCCTCTCAGCTCTCCTCTCCTCTCCCTCAGCTCCCTCAGCGACCAGCAACAGGGGCGGTAGAAACGCGTGGAGGCGGCGGGTCGGCGACGGCGAGGCGCGAGGTCGACGACGGCAACAGCGAGGCGGCGGGGTCGGCGCGGTTCCCCTCCCCTCCCTCCCAGATCCGGCCGGAGGGAGGCCGGGGGAGGGTGGTGGCGGTGGCGACAGTTCCCCTCCCTCCCAGATCCGGCCGGAGTGAGGCTGGGGGAGGGCGGCGGCGGCGGCGGCGGCAGTTCCCCTAACCCTAGATCAGCCGGAGATTGGTAGGGGCGCGGGTGGGGTGGTGGCGATATTTTTTTTGTTCGTCGAGATGATTTTCACAGGCGGGTGACTGGGTCGCCCTGCGAAAATCATCGGCATACAAATGGATCGTTCCCCCGCCGGAAAAAATCATTTTTGGCAGCCTGAAAAAAACATTTTTCTAGTAGTGTCCTCTTCTTTCTTAGCAACGGAGACACATGTGGAGTTCAAAAAGCATGTCGACCATCAAAGCACGATGTAGATGAGGGATCATGCTCCCCTCCTTAAACTCTTTGCCCATAGCCGCTGATCGCCCAATCTGCCAAATACCGTCCAGTTAGTTTCAATCTTGTTGCTTGCCTGTTGCACAACAGTATAGAGTCAACAACGACAAGTCAGTGACTCAGTGTGCACCAGCAATGTCTAGGGAGGGTGGTGCTTTACTGCTTCCCTCACTCTTCCCTTCGTCCTTCATCAAACTAGACCTGATACCATTAAGGTCGGTGCAACTAGATCCAATGGTGACCTTAAGGATACAATGGCACCTGGGGACGCAGGATCTATTATCTGGGTATTCACTCAATAATTACATGCATCATGTGCTTGATGTTTGGCAACTAGTGTTTAGAAGATTTGAGGCAATTGGCTACTAGATTGCAAGTTTTGTGAGCTAAAACTAGTGTGGGTGGAGTGGATTTGTTGAGAAAAAGGTATTAGACATGTTCCAGTATATATACATGTCATATATCTAGGGGTGGCAACGGGGCAGGGCGGGGCGGGGCGGGGTTGGGCTGGAATACCCTCACCCCGGCCCCGCAAAGGAAGTCGGGTGAAAAACATCACCCGTCCCCACCCGACCCGACGGGTGACCAGGGCCCTCATCACCCGGATGGAGTTAATACTCCATAAAAATATTGCAATACATTGAATAATAGTATGATAAAATTTCGTTAGGCCCCGACGATGGGGGTTGGTTGAAGAAAGTGAAGGGATTATGGTTGAGGGGAATTAGAGTGTTAAGTTTTTATGTATCAATTTTAAATGGGCTTTTTGGGTCTTCATTATTGCAATAGGCTACTTTTATAGAAGTAACTCACATCCAGGATCTCTCCGGATCACCAACGGGTTAATTCTAATCCGCGCTGCCATCGCCGGAATTTTGCGGGCCCTCTCCCCGCTCAACCGCGGATGAGAATTCTTCCTTGGCCCCAGTCCCAATAGAGAAATTACCACCCCTACATATACCTACATATATTAAGTTCTTTCATGAAAATTATGGGCATTTCCGAGAATACAGTGAATACCCACTGCTTCTGCCACTCAACGATGACCTAAGTTGGTAAAATCCGATGGTGACATCAGCGGCAGAGCTAGAAAATCTGCATGTGTACGGTGAGCTAACGGGAGCTCAAATATTTTTCTAGAATAACATAGCAATTTTTAAAATTTAATAAGGATTATGGAGCTAGGCATAGGAGAAGGAGATAAGGATTTTTCCAGGGTTTATATTATTGTCGGTAACCACGCGGTTATCGTGGTTACTGGCCTTACCGCGGGGTACGGTAATAGAAAAACCGCGGTAACCTCCTTAAATTCAAATAAATTTTAAAAATAATTTGAATTTTTAATAAATTCTGCACGGTTTCGTGCGGTTTTTCACGGTTACCGCGGTTACCACGGATTGGGTGCGGTTTTTTAATATATATATATATATATATATATATATATATATATATATATATATATATATATATATATATATATATATATATATATATATATATATATATATATATCAGAATTTATTGGATGCATGCATTATATTTATTAGGGTGATTTAAACTAGGAGATGATAATAATTGTTTCTTGGTCTTTGGGTTAAGGGTAGTTGTGCCTTATATTTTGGAATGGAGGGAGTAAGAGATTTTGGATGAATGTGACATATCCTAATACTATGAATCTGTACAGAGTATTAATAACTATTATAAATTTAAAAACATTTTTTTTATTTTTAAAGAAAACTTTATTCACGATATTCATAGTTTAGCAGTTTGGTAAGCGTGCTCTTAATAAATGAATAAGAAGCCTAGCAAAAGAGCTCTTTAGAACGCATCCTAAGAGGTCTTCTTGTTGGAACCAAACCCTCGCATTTTAAGAGGCATTCAAGGAAATCAGTGAAAGACTTTACCCAGCAAGTCTAACTTAGAGTTTTCTTTTGTTTCTCTGATTCGTTTGATCATCGATTTCGACAAAAGACAACTACACAGGGGATTAAGCCAAACAAGGCCCCAGGATTGCAAAATGCAAGTTGCAGAAAGTTCCCTTCTACAAATATCGGCAAAGACAAACACAACAATCAGGTCCCCACAGAATAACAGAATTAGGCTCGAAATCAATCAACCACCATCACGGGTTTGCGCTAAGAGATGCTGGAACCAGCACAATTCCGTAAGTACCTAAAAGAGCAGGCTGACCTGAGAGTTTCTGCATTAACACCGTACTCTGTTCCGTCTTGAAGAGGGCTTCGTATCCTCCTGACCATCCACTTCCCAACCGTGCTCAGTGCTCACCATTCAAACTGCAAAGCGTCTCTTCGAATTGATGCCGCATGCCGGCCAATTAGCCATATGCATTCATGTCTCAAGTACCGCGTGAACAGATTTCCTTTTTGATGGAACATTAGCGGCTCTTTTT